TATATATATATAAAGATAATAATATTCCCTATTCTTCCAGTGAGTGATAGCATGTCTTCAATAGTTGTGCAAACCTCGTATATTCAAAGGACCTGTATTTTAGAACACCCTTGCCTTCACAAAATTTAAGGTATATGCAGTTGATGAATGTTTGATTTTGTAGCCTTTAGAGAACTATGTTGAGATTTGCAATGGAAGGCCTGGTTTATGTACTTCCTGGCTTGGGACAGAGGGAATAAGCCTTTGTCTTAACAGAAAGTAAGGATCTCTTCCACAGTGCCTACCCTGTCTTGTGAACATTTCCTCCTCTCAAAACTAATGGCTTCTTCTTGATTGCTAAAAAGATGATTATTTGGTGCAGTGGATATCTCCATACTCCTACTTAGTCCACATCCAGAAATCTTAAGTAACATTTTATCAGGCCTTTAAAGTATAGACACCTGCATTCTTAAAAGACTATAAACAATTTCTTTTTGGGATTATTGTTCTCTTCAACTAAGTTGCTTAAAGCATTGTCTTAAGTATTTCCGCAGATATCCCTGGTTATATGTTGAATTTTCTTCTTGGAGTGTAAACCAAGTTAGATAGCAATCTAACCCCTCTATTTTCCAACTTTCTTCTTACTGCCAAAAGTAACTCTTCCAGTGAGCAGCATTCTGACTTAGTTTGTTAGGGAACTTATGTCTTTGACATGTAAATTTATCTACTCAGTTTTTCTACAGAGAGAAAAGTATTTTCAAAGTATTCCTAGGTCAGATTTCTGTGGCAATCTCTGCTGTTATCAGTAAGAAGGAAATTTTGTGTTTGCATGTATTAACTCCTATACCGGTCTCAGGATTTCGTGGTACTTCCTGGATGTAAATTAAGAGCCTATGTATCTTTTTTCTTTTTTTTTTTTTCCTTGTGGTAAATGTGAATCTCTTCATCCTGTACAAAGAAACCCTTCAATGAGAAGAGATGCTAGTAGGTGTTCTTCGACAGCTCAGAGATATGGCTGTTAGTGCAATCAATTGGTATGCCTCTACTGGCATCTGTCATGTCATAGAAAGGTCAGCTCATACCACGCTTCGGTTAATTGGTTTGTCACAATGTGGCATCCCACATTCTCACGCAGAATGGAGCAATAAGTATTCAGATTCAAGTGTGGCTGCACGTTACACCTAGCCACTGATGACTGCTGAATTAAGATTGCCTGTATCCTGAGGGAAGAATTGGATTAGAACAATCTATGTTCCCATTGAGTACAGTCTGAGGCACTGGGAGTGCTAAGCTCTCTGTTAGTGTTGCCACATCACAAAAGCAGTTCTGAAAAAAAACTTCTACTTTTTAATGTATAAATGCAGATTTTAATTTTGTGGCTGTCTGCAGAATATGAAACTATATCTCAGCATAGCTGAATATCCACCTACACTTTAACACTTCCCTTTGCAAAAAGCTTTTTAAATTGTCTGTAATGATAGCAGGCAGATATAAAATTAAAAATGCGATGGCTCTTTAAATATGTTCTCTTGAATATCCCTACATGTTTGTAATTAACTGCTTTAATGACCTCTTTCCTTTAGTTTTAGTTTATGCTTTTTTGGTGGCACAACAGATGATAATAAAAATGTTTAAATCTACTACAAGTTTTAAAACTTATTTCAGCATCTCTGCTTTTTTATTACATGCCTTATCTTTTAGGAGAAAGAAAAAATGGGACAAAATGTCTTGTATTAAAATGCCTGTCTATTAGGATGTCAATTGGAAAAGTGAACATGTACTGTATTTCCATACTGATACTAAGTATGAGCATCGGGGAACATTCTTTTTGCCTATAAAAAGACTGATCACATGATCATAGCTGACATTTAGATGGATAATTATTCAGTAATGTAATATTAGTCATCTTTTTTTTTTTCTCCTATGTTCATATAGCTACAAGATGGTAGTATATAAGACTTCCTCTTATATCACAGGTTTCAGGTTGTCCTTTTAAACCAACAATTTCTTTTGTTCTTCTGAAAAGACTTTTAAGTGTTGGAGTGTTTTAATAGATTACGCATATCACATCTAAGTGAGGTGTTAGAGTATAAGCTGTATTCTATTTTTCTGTGACCAATATATAAGAAAATAACAGAATGAAAATTATTACAAAATTAATGCCATTAGCTGTAAAAACTTATTTTTGCATTATGTGAAGTACACAAAATTGCATGCATCTATCTCACTGAAGAGACAGATGGAAATTACTTGTCTTATGAACATGACTTTCTTTTTAATGACAGTGTGGAGGAGTGCCTCAAAGAAGACTAAATACCTACAGAATGCTAAGATTATTGAAAAGTAACATTTGTTTTAGGAGAAGACATGAACCAACCCGGTTCTAAGATAGTGTGTCTTTATGATGTTGTCCTATGTATGTCCTCTTGGGCTGCCTGATAATTCATCTATTAGCTAACTACCCAAAATCTCACAACCCGTTTATGACATAAATTTATAAAATAAAAGAATACTAAATATTCACTAGTTTCTCATCATTGTTGGCTACTGTATTATTAAGATTTATTTTAAATCAATTTATTTTTATTCAGATCAATCCAGAGTTTTGCCATTCCATAGTACTGGCCTAAAAGTAGTATCTCTTTGATAATTGATGACTGATTTAAGTGCAAGTTCTACTAGTACTTAAATTAAAAATGAAATCTTTTGGGGCCTTAATGTTAAGGTACTGTTAAAGCGAAACAGCTTAAACTTTTATAGCACCTTGTCATTCTGAAGTATTTCTAAGTATTTTACAAAATATTAAAAGTTAATCTATCCTTGAGTGCTGATACTTGTATGTAATAATTTAGATCTAGCAAGAAGAAATCAAAGTGTTTAATGCTTAGTTAGCCTCTCTTTTTCAGTCTGATGTCAGAAAGGAGACGTATTACAGTGAAACATGAAAAGCACCTCATTCCAGAGGGTCTGTTCTAGGATCAATGCATTTGTTAAGGCCACGGTAAAGACCTGTAGTAGTTTTCTCCAAATCTTTCACTTAAAGGTGAGTTTCACCTTACAGTAACAGCTGTTCAATACAAAGTGTTTGTAAGAACTTGTATGCATCTGTTGGAGGGACAGTACATAAGAACTAATTTAAAATACCTTGTGAACTTCTTTGGCACCAGAAAAAAAAGATCTTTTTTGGTTCTGAATAGATAAGTATAGTCTGATTGGCTACAAGTACAGTGAAGTCTAAAGCTGACTTACTGGTATGCAATTCCAAGTAACTAATTGTTAAATGCACTAATGATGTCAAGTTTAAGGGGAAAACTGTTATCAGAAAAAAAGAATGAATGCATGATTATGCCTCTCCCTCTTCATATGTATGCATACACCTCCACCATTTTGTCTTTATCATATGCAAATTCTTAAGCTGAAAGTTACAAAAACTCCACATTATATGATGTCTTCAACTTCAGCCACAACTAAACAGAAGTCATTTCTGCTTTAGATGTGACCTCTTTATTGCTGGAACCTAGACAGATGCAACACTTGAAGTGTTGAAAGGTGACTATATAGATTGTGTGGAGCATAATACTAGGAATAGCTACAGCCTCACTAGCTTCAGTAGCTTCACCAAAGACTATTGTACTGTGGATCCTACCAAATGTGACAGTATATATTTTTAGTTAGGAGCCGTGCAGTACTTTTTTCTGCTAGTGCATCACCCTCCTGATATGCTAATTGAAGGGCAAGCAGAATTGACCAGCTAATGTACTGACTTTAAAAACAATAGCAATTGATACACAAGATAAAATTTTAATCTTTTTGTTCTAATATGATTTCTGTCTGAATTGTATAAGTTGTGTAAATAGATGTAAATTCAGAAAGTCTTTTGTGATCAGAGGTGTATTGTTATACGTAACAATATACATAATGAGTCCTTGGTAAGTGGCTGTTGAATAATCTCAAGTAGATAGCAGCCAGTGAGCCAAAGGTGTTAATTTAATATAGCACTAACTTTCTTAATCTAATCGGCATCACTGAAAACATCCCCCTGTCCACCTGCTTTGGGAGAGCAGTCTGTGTTAGATGCTTCTGTTGGAATCTGGTTGTTTCAGAATGCCCAACCTACAAAGACAGAAAGGCGGTCACCAGTTTACCAACACCACACATGAGCCTAGGTTTTATTAACCAAGCTATGGGAATGGACTTTTGTGGTAATATCCTGTTCCTGTTTCCTCACGGAAACATGCAACTGCTCAAAATATCAGTGCACTGAAATGTAGAAATATGACTCGCCATGCAGAATAATGGCAACTGGCATATGATTTATCATCCCCCATCATATGATGAGCTAGAATATTATATTGTCAATATAGCATGTCAGAGCCTTTGGAAGTAATTTGCAGTATCTCTTTGTAGTTGTTTACAAGATGGAGTTGGGGGCCAGGCACTTTTTATTAACGGAAAATGGAGGTTTCATTGCTCAGTCATTACAGTATTTTCATGGTAATGCTCCATGCTAATCTGCTGTATTTAGGCAGTTAATAGGATAAAAAGCTTCTGGGTAGAAGACTACTGTCTTCTATATTTCAGAATTATACTAACTTCCAGTTATTAATACTATAATCCCAAGGTTTCCACCAATATAAATGTACTGTGAATTGATGAGAGGTCAAATTACGAGAATAAATTATAGTGAACTTAGCGTGTTTCATTATAAGAGAATCTGTCCTACTTCGTAAGTGAGTTTTGGGGGTTTTTTTCCTCTTCCTAAAAGATCATGGAACAGTCAGGGTTCATACTAACACCTCTTTTGTGTGCTTCAAATACTCAGTGTCTTATTTTTATCTTTATTGTTTCTTTCCTGTTATGTGAACCTCCTAGGAGATGGAACTGAGCGGAACGATTCAGAAAGCAGATTATCCAGAAGAGGGCAGCCTCAAACAGAGGAGGATGCGTAAGTGTATTAAGTGTTTTGTGTGTGCAGTGCTCTGACTTTTATTTATGAAAGGTTAATATTTCATACAGAACTAAATTAATAGTGATTATTTTTTAATACTTGTAATTCCACTGGATATTCAAAGGCACTGAATGGCAGGCTTACAGTTATAGGTACAGATTAATGCAGGGTTTGCAATACAACTGTCCAGCCCGTTCTGTCTTTCACTGGTAGTGTGGGGCATATGACAGTGTTAATTACAGGAGTCACACTCATATACATACAGGAGTCACTACGCAATGAGGTATCATAATTAAACTCCTGAAAAGAAAGTATGTTTTGCCTTTCCAGACTCTTCTGAAAGTGTACATTCCTTTACCTTGTTTTTGGAAGCATTAACTGCCAAAGATACAGGGCCAGTCATGCAGGACACTTTTTGATTAAAAACTAGCCACAGATGGTCATGGTGAAACTTCATTTTTGCTTTACAAAGTCTTTTAAAATGCTTGTCTTTTCTGCCACAATCTTATTTTAAGCTATAAGATTTCTGACACTAATGGACTTCGGCCAGTACAAAGTTAGTAAAGCACTTAAATAAATGTTTCAGGTGAAATATCTGATGAACTGCTTTCCTAAACTTGATAGATGTGAGGAAGGAGAAGTGACAAAATGTATTAGAAGTAAGGCTGCTAGTGTCTCATGTTGTCAGTATTCCTTGATCTTTTCTGTTATGAAAAACATACTTAATTGTTTACAGCATTGCCAAACCTCAGCTGAAAAGTGAATTGAAATTTTCTGTGCCAGCGGTGAGGTGTCAGGCTAAATTTGTTATGTATTTCAGCCAAAACAAACATACCCACACCTAAGAGTTAGGCAAAGGAAATATTTGTTTAATCTGTGATAGAACTTGGTGAAAAAGTGGAAAGTTGTGAATCTCTCTATGTTGGATTGTATCAGGGATGCCTTTTGTCTTTATGGGAAGTTACCCAATTTGGAAATCCTGGAAGTTATGAGGTTTTTTTTAATATGGAAGTTGTGTATGCTCAGTAAAACTACTTGGAGTTTAAGCTTTAGTCTGACTAAAAATCTGAAAGTTTCCTTCCTCAGTGAGCATGTTCATATTTCTTGCTGCTAATACAATACTATCCTAGATAGTCCCCCATCCATTTCCATCCTTTTTACTCAACTGAAATTGCATTCACCAGGGACTCTTGTGATCTCTTATTAGCAAAATTTCAAAAAGAAATCTTTATTCTCATTTTTCTTCAACATTGTCTACATTTTTGTTCTTGAAATCTTATTATCCTTTTGTGTTGTCCTGCCTTTTTAGTTGATGCTTCAGCTTGTCCTCTGGTGGAATCTTAACATATATCTTTGACATCCGTCCAAGAAAGTCTAATTCACAGCACAGCATTAACATGGCTAGACCACATATCATCTTCTCTCCTCTACAACATTATTTGTTTTTATCATTCTGTGTAATGTGGCTGTCCTGTATTTCATTCAGGCCCAGTGCCTGTGCATCCAATTCAAATTGTTATGTAAATTATGTCTGTAAGGTCTGGGATACTTCCTCTCCAAAATCTGAGGTGCGTTTCCTGTTACCCCAGTTTGTCACTAAGAGCTCACCTCTCAGTGTAATGCAAACCTCCATTGCCTACATATTCCCTTGTTGGCCAGCTTCTTTGTACTTTCCTTGTGTTCCTACTTCTGACAACAGGTCATTGCTGTAACTGCTGTTGATACTGACTGGAAGAAGTGTCACCATGCTAGTGCAGTATTCATGCAGGCCAGTTGACCAACTTGAAAAGAGTTGGAGTTTTGTACTGGAGTGGGTTTCTTTCATCATGTTTAAATATACATAGATTCTGTTATTTTGCTTCTGTATTCTGTTGTATGTACATGGTGAGTTGATCTTGGCTAGACGCCGGGTGCCCATCAAGCTGCTTTATAGCTCCCCTCCTCAGCAGGACAGGGAGGGGAGAAATTAAGATGGAAAAAAACTCATGGATCAAGATAAAGGCAGTTTAATAAAGCAAAAGCAAAGGCTGCGCATAGAAGCAAAGGCAAACAAAAGATATATTCTCTACTTCCCATGAGCAGGCAATGTCCAGCCATTTCCTGGGAAGTAGGCCTTCAGTATGCATAGCCGTTGCTCTGGAAGACAAATGTCATAATAATGAATCCCTCCCGCTTTCTCTTAGCTTTTACTGCTGAGCTGACATCATATAGTATGGAATATCCCTTTGACCAGTTTGGGTCATGTGTCCCAGCTCTTTCCCCTCCCAACTTCTTGTGCACCCCCAGCCCGCTCACTGGCAGGGCGGTATTGCTGCAGTTTGGATTAGTCCATGACAGATGTGCTTCCACCCCTGGGGCAGTCAATTGCAGGTGTATTGGACACCCCTCCATGTGAAAGCAAACTGTGGCCTGCACTCTGCTGCCAAAGGAATTGAAAAAAATACATCGGCAATGTCAGTTGTAGCATAGCACTTGGCTGCCTTTGACTCTAGTTCATATCAGAGCTCTAACATGTCTGATACAGGAGCACTCAGTGGTGGCGTCGCTTTGTTCAAGCCACGATAGTCTACTGTTAACCTCCACCCTCCGTCAGACTTTTGCACTGGCCATATGGGACTATTAAAAGGTGAGTGAGTCTTGCTGATCACTGTCCAGTTGATGAATCAGCTCATGGATGGGAGCCAGGGAGTCTCGGTTTGTGCGATATTGCTGCTGGTGCACCATCCTGGTAGCAGTTGGTACCTGCTGTTCCAACTCACAGCAATCCCACAACAAAGGGATCTTCTGAGAGGCCAGGCAGGGTACACAGCTGTTTGATCTTCTCTGTGTTAACAATGACTATGCCAAAAGCCTACTGGGTACTCTCCTGAAGTAGTCTATGCCAAGGATACAAGGGGCCTCTGGGCCGGTCACAATGGAGTGCTTTTCTCACTTGTCCCCTGTTAAGCTCACCTCAGCCTCCAGTACAGACAATTCTTGGCATCCCCCTGTCACTCCAGAGACCCAGATGGCTTCCATGCCCTATACCCCGATGGCACCAGCGTAAACCATGCACCAGTGTCTGCTAAAGACTTATACTTCTGTGGGTCTGATGTGCCAGGCCATTGAATCCACAGAGTCTGGTATACCCAGTCATCCCTTTCCTTCTCCTGGCCAAAGGCAGGGACCCTCTATTCCTGTTCCTGGTCAGAGTATTCACTGCCTGACCCTTGCAGTGCCAGACCAGAAGTCCTCTCACCAGGATCAAGGGAGGTGATTTCAGTTCTTCTGTGTCTGGGACATCGCTGATTGCCACCTTGCATCTCTACAGCAACTAAGCTGTTCTTGGGTGGGCCCTTCTTAACAGCTGTTTTCCCTCTCAGTTAGTGTACATGGGCTTCCAGCTTAAAGGTGGGCTCACCATCCCACTTTCTCATATGCTCCCCTTGGTCATGCAGGAAGAACTAGAGTGTGTGACACGGAATGTGCCTGGGGCCCCTCTTGCCCTCTGACCAGGGCAGGACAGGACTGATTTCTTGGGGCACCCCGATAGCCAAGGTGCTGGCCCATAGGGATGAGGAGGTACAGAGATTTTCTTCAAAGTTTTTGAGCCAAGAAGACACTCTGTCCATGATTGGTGTATCCATATCCGGGCAATACATCACTGCCAAGCTGTTAGAATATGACGCTGGGGCACTTTGAATCACCTTCCTCCATATGGCCCATGTACACAGGACATCCTCTGGATCTCTGGAGACATCATCATCATCTAGATCACTGTAGATGACTTCAGCACCGCTAATTCTCTTGGGTACTGGATGCCTTCATCTGCTTTAGTCCACTTTCCTGGGGAGTTCACAAGATCTTCCTTGAATGGATATCTTGCCCTCACACTTGAGACATGCTGTCCCCAGAGACTGCAAATTGCTGTCTCTTTTCCAATTCCTTTCTCAATTCCCTGGTTTGTAGCAAGGGGTCCCAGTTGTTGGGCTTCCTTTCCTTCCAACTGATAACTGTCGGCCCCGTTATCCCAGCATCAGAGCAGCCAGGCAGCAATCTGCTTACCCGGCTGGCAGATGTAATCTTTCCACATGTCTTGAAGTTCTGATGAGGTCAGGGACCGGGTAGTTTCCGCTTCCTGTCCGAATTCTCTCACTCCTTCCTCCAATTTCTTTGCCAAAGGACCACCTTCTCAATCAAACCTTTCCTCTGCTTCCTTCTCCATCACTAATCAATGATATGGACCCCTTGTTTTCCTCGTCCACTGTTTCTTTTTCACTACTGGGGCAGTTACTGCAGTTGTTGTTGTTTGGGTCCTTGCCTCAACCACAGTCCTCTGAGAGTACTGAACTGTGGCTCGATAGAATCATAGAATCATTAAGGTTGGAAAAGACCTTTAAGCTCATCAGGTCCAACCATCAAAAGGCACAAGCCAGGCCCCAGTACAGTGCTAGATAGAAGCTGCTGGTTTCCATTGGGGTAGGCAAGGCACCCTTCTGTCAGGCGGCACATCAGTCTGCAAGGGTTGCTTGCCTGTTCTGGTGTAAGGTCTCAGGCTATGGGAGGTGATAACCACCCTAGGAACCTACCCAAATCCTTCCACACACCCTGCCATCCAGGGACCGGCTGCCTCAGGGCACATTTCAGTATCGCCTCACCCAAAAGTTGCCTTCTCTTATACCAGGACGACACCAGATTCCACAAACCCCATAATGTGCTAACAGTGTTGATTAGTAGTATTAAACAGCTCACGTAAGGGTGAACAAGGACCTTGGGAACTGTATAATAACGCCATCCACACCAGTCCCAGGTAGGAAAAGGGATTCCACAAGATAGCTCCCCCAGCACAGCAAGGCCGTCAATGCCAGGGCAAAGCGCATAGCCGTTATTTGTATTAACATGTTCCTACGCTCAGCAAAATAAAGAGATAAGCAGCGCAGCCAACAAACTCCGTGAGCAGCACAGGAGCTTGCCACTTAATAACTGCTGTACCTATAGCTATAGCATGCTTAATACAAAACTGCTGTTGTCTGTCTCACGCCCCACGTTGGGCGCCAAAAAAAGGACTGTGGTGGGTTGGCCTTGTCTGGACACCAGGTGCTCCCCGAGCCACTCTATTACTCCCCTCCTCAGTAGGACAGGGCAGGGAGAAAAAAGATGGAAAAATACCATGTATTAAATATTTGTATCACGGTTGTACCTGGTGTCCCAGGCGAAAATTCCCTTGCGGCTAGATGGTTTATGCATGCATTTATTTTTTTTTTAACAAATAATATTTGTGACATTTATTGAACTAAGTGTTATGTTTCTTATGTTTGAAGTTGTAGCTTTTCTTTTTGATTATTGCACTTGAACTCTCAATGTGTTTGGGATTTTTTCTCTTAATGGATGCTTTCCCTCACCATTAGCTTGAAATTTCTTCATTGTAGGACAGTAAGTATCTTCTAAGTGATGGAGTTTGACAGATAGTAGAATTGTTTGGATGGTACGTTAGTAAAAAATAAAATCTTCAGTTATACCAGTGGAAACTGATTAATTGGCGGGTTTTTTTGGGTTCAGTAAATCCCTTGGTCAACACATATAGACTTGTTTCTTAGTGACAGCAACCTTGAATTGCAGAACAATTTGAGTAATAATAGTCATCATTGACATGCAAATGTTTGCATTCAATAATTCAGTATGTTTTTAAAAAATTGCCAGATTTGCAGAAGTCAGTGACATGCCAGTAAAACATATTTATAAAGTAACACCTACACAGTAATATTCATGTGAACTTCCATACACTTTATTTTTACAGGTGGAAAATATATTGTACAATACACTGACATTAGCATTTTCTTTTCAGCATAACCTTCTATTCCCATGTTGAAATACAACAGTGATAAGTTTTTCTCATACTGTAGTTCTGTTTCTAAATTTGGGATTTCTTGTAAGGGTAATTCTCCCTTCTGTGAGAGGAAGCAGTAAATAGATTATTTCTCTGTTGTCTCCATTTGATTTCAATGTTTACATGGTTCAAAGAGGAAATAGTCTAAACATTCATTGTAGGAATTTTTTTCAATACATATTCAGTGCAAATCTTTAATCATGCATTAAAGTCTGCCATTTAATCTGATTGGATATTATTTTAATTTTTATTGCAAAACCCATTAAACTCTGAAAGCTGACCATCTTTACACTGGTAGTAAAATATATTCGTGGTTTAAAAGCGGAGATAGTACAACAAAGCTGAACAAATACCATCACACGATGTTTGTCCCTGTTGGGCTCAGTTTTAACTTCTCATGTTTCCTATGGCTACCAAGCAGTGTCGTACAGTCTTAGAGTCCATGGGTTTGGGGAGCTCGTCCTCTTGATTAAATTAGGAACAAATCAGTTACATTCCTGTTTTTACCATTGTCTTCCTGCACAATCATAAGAAAATCCTCTAATATTGCTGAGCCTGAGTTCCTATCCTTAACATTAGGATATATGTATTTTTGTCAGTTGGCATATAAATCCTAACCAAAGGCAAGTTATATTTGGTGTTATATGACACAGTTGGGTTGCACAGCCCATCTGTTCACAGCTTATCTAGATCCATCCTTATTACAATGTGAGGAAACTCTGGGAAACATTGTAAACACTGATTTTCAGCAAGTGGTGATGGCTAATTGAAAATGTTTATTTTAACTTTTTATGCAGGTTCATGGAATTGCACTCCAAAGTGAAAAATTCATTGGTTAGAATTCTGAAAATGAGAGCAAATCTGACAAGCCTACAGGTCTGATTTACACTGATTTATTTTTTAATCTACTTTTAATATAGGATTTGAAATAAAAATGAAAATCTTATCTGCAACATTTGAGTTTTAAGGAATAGGGAAGCAAATGAAGTATGTGAAACAAGGCAGGTTTGACTTGGAAATCCAGAAAATGCAAAAGAAACCACAGTTTGTTTTTTTTTAAACTAGAGGAGTTGCTTTTCCAAGCACACCATTTTTGATTTGTATCACTCCTCATTTTGTACATGAAGAAAAGCATATGAAGTAGTTATCAACTATTATTTACAACTTGAAATATGAATTATTACTGCGTAGATTTTTATGTCCTTGAAGATTAAACATCCCTTTGTGTTGAAGTGATTGTACTATTTAATTTACCACTAACGTATCATCATTTAATAGTCTGTTTAATACATGCTAAAATGCAAATCACTTTTCTGTTTTATTCACATTTTGTTTCCTGAATAAATTTAGCACAAGGTTGGTTGCTGTATATCAGTATCTGAGAAAATTCAGTGTACTCAAAGTATTGTGTTGATTTATTTCACTTGCATATGTGGTCTGACAATGTTTTGTTTACAAAAAGGACTAATACTAATTTAAAATATTTTAATTGAAATGTTTATTTAGAAAACTCTATTGAAAAATCTTTTCTATTTGTCCTGAGATTGATAGTGTATGGTTTTAGGTCTACCATGAAATGCTGAGGAGTGTTCAACAGAATCTAAAACGTTTGTAGATTTCGATTTTACTAACATATTATAGCAAGCTTGTACATGTGCCAAGATTGCTTTTCTGGGGGTCAAGTGTTAATCTGTTTAAACAGCTGAAGACTTACGAATGAAGCGTAAATAACAAGAGATTTTTAAGTAACACTTTCAAAGGCACCTGAATGCCATTTTCAAAAATAGCCTATGTTCTTACACCTTTAAACTTTTTAGTCCCGTTGACTTTCTGTGAGGTGGGGTCTCATGCACCATCTAGAGCTTATGAAAAATTTCCAAAAGTTCATTCTTTCAGATGTTTTTAATAAGTTGTAGACATCTAAGTAGTTAGTTTAGGAATGAGATCTAACAATGTCTTTAATTATGGGTTTGTTTTTTTTTTCCAGGCTTTAGAGGGCAGTAGAGAGCTTGAAAATATTATTGGTGTCTCAGACTTGTCTTGCGTCTTGCATACTGAAGTGCAGAAAACCCAAGTATTAAGTAAGGAGGTTTTTCAGTAATATTTATCCCCTTTATTACAATCTAACAATGATCACCCCAAACGTTTCCTAGCGTCATACCCCACTCTGTGCTATAATGGAGTGTTATACCCCAGGACTCCCGAGTTCTTTTGGTCAGGACAAATGCACCTTAAATGTCCTTGTGCATCCAACCAGGGACATAAAAGAAAGGCAACCCCAACGGCCGCTCTTCTAACTCACAGGCACAGATGGGGAGGAAAAACTTGCAAGAGCAACACCTTTTCTTATGTAAATAGTTAGATACTTAGTGGGTAGTTAGCTAGTGATTAGACTAAACGTTTGCACTTTGATTGCATTGCCTTTCTTCTCTTTTTGCAAGGAAGTTGTTTTGTTTGTTTGCCTGTTAGGAGGATTAGGCTGAATATAGGTTTCCAGGCTTTAAAAACTGCTATGCATGTGTCTTTAAATGATGGACATACCACATGCTTATTGTGTTGGGATAAGCACACTTTACAGGTGGCACATCTGTAATACTTCTCCAAAGGAACCCAGAAAGCCAAGTATTTTCCTTTATATGTGTCCATTTTTTAGGAAACTTTATATCCTTACTCCAAGTCGGAGGTCCTTGGGACATGTGAATTCTCAGCAGCAAAAAGTGCATTCATACTTCTCTTTCCAACTGTCTCTGCAACAAGAAGGGGAGTGTGTGACAGGGAAATATTCTAATGCAAAAAACTTGCATTATGGAGAATAGCAGGGAGAAAAATCTAGTGGCTTTCAGGGAGAAGAAATACAAATCTCCCTTACCAGCTTATTCCTTTAGGAGTCCAAAATGGTGGAAGGTAGCTGTAGGCACTCAAGAGGTCCTAATCTTTATGCCTCAAACAGCTTGTTCATTTGTTTTCACAATAGCAACACCTTTTATCTGTACCCACATGGCATGTTTGTGGTGCAGGTGTGTGTCTCCTACCACTACTTCTCAAAGGTTCGCATATATAACATTGTTCTTGTAGACTTTTCATACCAACCTCTGATAATCTAGTTTCCCGCTGAGTGAGGAATATGAATAATATATGCATGTACATAGTCCCTGTGTCCAGTCTTTGGAAAAGCAGACAAAGAAGATAAAACAGTTTCTTAACCTGCAGAAAATGTGATGTTTTGCCAATATATATTATTTTACAACCGGTCTAGTTGCTCAGTTTTCTGCGGAGTGTAAAAATGCTGGAGCTATAGGAGAGCAAAACCTAGGGTGACTGGGACTGCTGCTTTGTTCACAGTTGGAAACGGTGGCCAGTAAAGCCACAGGTGCTAGAGAATTTTTCCTACCAAAGAGCACTGCGACTCTTCTAATGCATTAGGTGCATGCGCCCCAGCAGTGGAATTTATGCACCACACCATTCCAGCAACTCCTGTTGTTTAAATTACCATTTCTTTCCTAACTTGTATTTCAATGCTCATTCGGTTTTCTTTTTGCATGTGTATACGCTGTACTAGTTCCCACTGTAATGCATATAACCAGATGCTTTCTTACACAAAATGAAGTGTTCTGAAAATAGTCGGTGTTTACATTACTACCCTACACTGTGGATAGGGCAGCAAGACTGCCGTATCCAGGAGAAGGCTGCAAATGAGATGTCAGACCTATTGTTGACATTTTCTGTTAGGTTCACTCTGTTAGCTTCTTGTTGCTTTCAAGATGGGAAAGAATCATCCTTTCCCCCATCTCTGAATTGGGCACCTGTCAGCACTAGAAAACAAAAAATGGGAATAAAATGTGGTACGAGGCTCATAAGCACAACTTCTCAAAATTTGGTTCATTTTGAAATTTTTTTTTTTTTAATTTATTTTTTTGAGCACAATCTGTAGGTAAGGGGTTTTTTTTGTCATCGCTTGAAGAAAAAATACAAGTGCTTTGCAGGTAAAAAAGGCAGCATAGGTATTATTGTCTTTGAAATCTCTGGGGTGACATTTATTGATTTCAGATTTATTTATTTGACTAGTGAATCAAGCAGAACAACTGCAGCTGTTGAAAAAAACCCATGGAAATCTTCCTGCCCGAGGTAAGAAACTTTTTTATAACTCCTGTGTAACACATGTTTTGATGATTCCTTTTAGTTGATGCCTTCTTACTTCTTTCCACTTGAAATAAGTTGGGTAACCTTTAGTATGTGAAAATGATAATAATCAAACGTGTTTCTTCTGAAAACTTTGGCGCTACTCAGATGTAAATTTCATCTTTTCGGCTATTTTCGTTGTATTGGGGATTTCTCCATCGAAGTGTAAAGGAGAAAGAAGTTATTAATGATCTTGCACTTGAGGCATGGTCTAGGAATAAGTGCAGTCAGGTCATAAGAGTTTACATACCTTTTTATCCTTGTTCTTCCTTGCTCTCCTCCTTCCCTCTGCATTTTCAGTGTATAAGCCAAGTAGCACACAGTTTTTGCAGGAAAAGCTTTGTCACCTTATATGTATCGTGAGATATTTAGCACACTCCAGGGGACTGTGAAATCCTAACTATTAGGTTTCATCATAACTAGTGCTGTGAAAATATTTGAAGTTGGTGGCATTTAATATAGTGTGGCCCACATAGCCACTTCAGTCCCTTGTCTAGCTGGGAAGGTGGCGGGGGGCATACACGCAAGATTTATTTTTTTTCTCTCACACCCAGTAAAGTCAACAAACATTCACCGCTGATATTCTGGTATTTCTGTTATCTTCACGCATTCTATCTCAAAACAGAGGAAAACCAGAATCAAAACTGGTGATGGCATCTCTACTGCTTTGTCTGTCAGCTGTCCCAACCAGCAGGGCCGCTTCATATCACAAGCAGCCCCTTTGATTTTGGTTTTATTTGCTCTTCCATGGGCCTTAATTCTTTCTGCTCTGGGCAATTCTCTTAAGGGAAAGAAAATTGATCAAACTTAAGTTTCCTTGGCTCCAGCAAATTATCACAAAATGAAAAGGAGTGACATCACTTTTTAAGGAATTTGGCTCATTTGTGCAACCTGCTATTTCTGATTTACAGCTCCCTATGTCCTTATGTTCAAATGATCACAGCCCCTGTCTGGCACTGATAACGGTGAAGGCTCTGGGCCATTGCAGATTTAAACAGTCATTGCTTCCTTTGTGCACTGCTTTTTAACGGTCACCAGGATGTACGTTTATAGTTCCATCTTTGCTCTAGAAACTAGCTCGTAACGCTAAGCATGTATCCAGTCTTGTTAGATGAGAAATTAGATATTTTGTGAAAGTAGGACAGAAAGTGGAATTATGAGCTTAAGTTGACCAACTTTGATGAAGTTTCAATGTCAATTTTGCTTTAATAAAGAATAAATTCAATTTTGCAGTCTTGAACATGCAGTACTAGGAGAGGTGAAGATAAAAGAAAAGCATGTGGAGATGTTTTCCTTTGCCTTTAGTTTTGGATGTGGTTTTTCGTAATGATTTTTAATTAGTTACGCTCAAGACTTAAAACTTATGACTGTTCTGTGGCTTGATACAGATGGAATGTCACATTATCATCACATGGCAAGGCATGAAATTTATTTACTTTACATAAACAACCTCTACTTAAAACTACTTAATGCAAAACATTCCTTGCTCAATGGGCAGCATTATGTAGGACTCAGTATATCATTTTGTGTGACCAGCATAAAAAATGGCATCATTGTTTGTCCATGAGTAGCATTTACAGTAAACAAAATGTTTTTGAATAGAATGTAAGCAAACTGTAAAGCAGCTGCCAAGAGATGAAATCTAGTCAGTATGTTGCAGTACAAAACATTTCTTTATGTGTTTTGAAAATAAATACATAGGTTGTGATATGCATATTTTAAAGGAATAAAATTTAGTAAGTTCAGAGTTTCAAGGAGTGAAGATAACATTCTAAGCAGGAAAGCTATTTAAGCTGGTTGTTACAAATTACACTAATACTTTGCTTCCCAAAAAGAAAAACACTGGCATAAATTATGTCCATGACTCTGTCTGCTGTCCAAGTGAGAACAAGAAGAGAGTGTTACAGAAGATCAAATACTCGCAGTGTTAAGGAAAACTATTTTCAGACTGTATCTTGTAATGAAATTAAAAAATACTTTCTTTTCTCTGTTGTTCATCCTGCCAAGGCCATGGGCAAATATGATCACATCTATGAAGTTTAGTTCTAAACATTCCTAAGTTTCATATTGTTTTTAATACAAGTGACTGAAGTTTGCACTCTTTGCAAGAGTAGTGGTGGCCTAGATCAGGCTTAACTAGATGAATTTTCATTTAACGCCACTTTAAATTACTAATGAAAGCAAAACTGGAGAGATTAGGGACCAAGTAATACTGAGTTCCCACTCGCCAATCCAATTTTCTGTGTATATATGGCAAAACATAAAATCCCATTTCAGAAACACTGCAAAATATAGATGCCTCCTTAATAAGCAGAGTTCCTTCTCAAAACCCGTAAGATGGTAAGAATACAATATCCCCTAAGTTTATCCCAATTCATGTCAGTTTGAGTTTGGACTTTGTGTTGGGTCTTTGGGTACAAGCAACTAAATAGCTTGGGTCTGGATGGCTGGTGAGTTGCTGTGAGTGAGGGTAAATCAAGTTTACAGTATATTTTTACCTCATTCTCAAAGTACAATGTGTTTGTTGACTTTTAGACATACTTGGGTGTCTGTCTCCCACCTGTCCTTCTTCCTCCATTGGGATCTTCTGGGGAAAACGGGAATACATAAGACTTCAGATGTATATTTTCAGGAACGTATCTGTGGATTTTTCTGACTGTAAAAACCCTAACCTAAAAAAGTAAGGTTTTTTTCTCAGCCCAACTTTGTAGTCACTTGCAGGGAAAAGATGTCATTATACCTTTTCTGGGAAAAGTAAGTCTCATGAAATGGCTAAGCAGAAATTTATTAAATGAACCGAATGAATTCACAAGTAAATTTATTCAGAAACGGAGTTTCTTTCCAGAGTTTCCATTCCTGGAGAGCAAATGGAACAAACACCATGATTGCCTTTGCTTAAAGCAAATACTCACTTTTCAGGGAAATGATGATCTGCATGCAGGGGCTGGACCTAGGTGTTGGGAAAGGCCTTTTTATCTAACAAATCTGTAGGCCTCTTTCTTAAGAACCAGTGCATGAGCTGACTGTAAGGATGAACCACATGCTGTGGTCTGTGCGAGCCCTGCTCCTAGGCATTTGTGATAGAGGCTTTTCTGAAGTTCAGTTCTCCACGTTCTTAATCTGTTTGGAAGAAGCTTCTAATGCTGACACAAACAACAGTTCCTTAGTTCTACCAAGGTCCTTTCGGTTAAATCCTAGGCTTCTTTCCAGCAAACATTTGACAAGATCTCTCCAGCAGCCTTTTTGTGGTGTACATTATCTCTAAAAGTAACAGAGATGATGCTGAAGGACTTTTTTTCAAACAGATTATTATTAGATGGAGAGTTAGAGCTTGTGTTTGCAAAACAATATGCTTACTTCAGTTGTTCACTTAACACTAAAGGTCAGGTTTGGTGTTTTGCCACACGTCAGAAATGTCTGCTCTGAATTAATGTCCCTGCATAGTGTTTGGAAGAGAGATGATGGTCATCAGTACTCTTGCACTTAAGTCCTGCATCCAGCCAAGATACGAGTTGCCCTCTTGGCCTAGTCAGAAAGGCTGTAAAACTAAGACAGAAATTTGAAACTGGTGAGGGGTCTGGAGCACAAGTCTTACGGGAAGCGTCTGAGGGAACTGAGGGTGTTCAGTCTGGAGAAGAGGAGGCTGAGGGGAGCCCTCATTGCTCTCTACAACTACCTGAAAGGGGGTTGTGGCGACGTGGGTGTTGGTCTCTTCTCCCAACTAACTAGTGGTAAGACGAGAGGAAATGGCCTCAAGTTGCGCCAGGGGAGGTTTAGATTGGATATTAGGAAAAATTTCTTCATCAAGAGGGTGGTCAGGCATTGGAACAGGCTGCCCAGGGAGGTGGTGGAGTCACCATCTCTGGAAGTGTTCAAAAAACGTGTGGATGTGGCACTTCAGGACATGGTTTAGGGGACATGGTGGCGCTGGATTAATGGTTGGACTTGATGATCTTGAAGGTCCTTTCCAACCTAGTGATTCTGTGAAACTGAATTACGAAAATTAATATTTTCAGAAGGTCTGAAAATACACTCGAAAGCCTGGTATTCAATTGCATTCAAGTTCAGTCAGCTTAGTCAACCTTATGCCCAAGGCTGCGTAGGTCAGAGCTGACGCTTACACAGACTACATCTGTAATGCAACTGCAGTATGGAGTACATACCTGCCTTTACCACAGGACAGAGAACCTTGGGCCAAGAGATTTCTCATGGCCAAAGGTGGCACGAAGGGGCTGCGGGCTGGCAGCACTTTGCAGGATTTCCTCTGGAAGAGCAGTGACCGTGACTGGCACGACTTAGGGCCTTAAGAGGCAGGCGAACGGCAGAGATCAGAGAGCGAGATTGTGCAGATGCACTGCACATGTTCCCAGCTGGTAGATGACTCCTTGGAACTGAACCCAGCTGATGGAAGCGAATATTATGTTCTATGTAATTGGTGAGGCAGCTTCAACCGTATGTGGAGTGGGAAAGGAGCCTGACCTTGTTCATCTGCTCTTCCGTGTGGAAGAACTATCTGTGCTTCTGCTCACAAGGCTTTGCTACAAGTAGACACAGGGAAAAGTTAATCTCAGTTACGTTTTTAAGTTATACCTACGTGTGAACACTTGTAAATGGGACTGCATTAAGCAAAACTGAATCAAGACTACTTCAGCGGTGAACATGTGGGTGAGCACACCAGGACTTAGTGCAACTCGCCTGTTTTGTTTACTCGTAAGTTATTTTGAGTGTTCCCATGCAGAGACCCAGAGAAATCGTTCTGCCCTCCTCCGCTGACAATCAAAAGTATTTGGGAGGTTGCCCCAAAGCGCACCTGGAGGAGTGTGTTGTAGTCTGGTCTGTGTTGTGTGGATTAAAAGCTGTTGTTGCTCGGGGTAAATTTGACTGTACGTCTTCTCTCATCCTGTGCAAAGCGGGTCTTTTTTTTAGTTTGTAACCATGCAAAGTCCTTTACAGTCTAGAAGAGGTAACAAAAACTACTTATCCTGGTACCCAAAATCTGCCATGCTAGTGATTTTGCTAGGACAGGGGAGTAATCTTGTCCACTGAAAGGTAAAGGAGCTGGCGGGCAGGTTTCTGTGTGACCCCCAAAGGCTGCGCTCTTTCCCAGCAGGTTATGGGTCTGTTGGATTGTACCCGCACCTTAAGAGTGCGTATTTTAAAATACAGCCTGAGATTTGGGAAGTGTCTGTGTCTGAGGTCACTGACATCATGAGCTTTTTGGATGGGAGGAAGAGGGCAGATTACAAACCTCTCCAATGATTGAACATCCTCTGCTATGTAGATGAAATATTAAGCTATTAACTTTTGTGGCAGATACAGAAATGCACATGAGACATATGACTGTAGGCCTCAGACGTATATACATATAGAACTGTCAACCTGCATTTTATATTTAGGTGTCAGCCACATTTATTCATGGATTTCACACTTGTGTTTATACTCTATTTTCCTATGTACCTTTTTACAGATGCAATAGCTATTAATTTTTAATTCTAGTAGATCTGGACTCTAAAGTCATTAAGCTTAATGAAAAATTAAAAAGAATTGTAGTTCTTTCAACAGCTACATGTAGCTACTCCTACATGAGAATAAATACTGCTTTCTCCCATGTATATAATTATTTTAAATAAAAAAGAAAAGAAACATTAGTTTGGACTCACTTAGTAGCAATTATATGTTTAAGAGGTGTAAATAACTTGCTATCCAGACATTACAAATATCCAGGTGCTCTGTATGTGCTGATGACAACAAAATTGAAAAGAAAGACTGTAATAATTCTGACTGGTTTTCTCTGCAGAAGATATTGATTATTTGTGTGTGGTGAGAGATTTGGAAAATTCAATTAAAGGAGTTGTGCAAAGGTTTCATAAATTTTCCTTGTACAGCGTGTACACAGACATTGTTGCGTATTAAATCAATGCAGCACTTCACAATATATTTTCTTTGAAACATAAAAATAAATAACATTTAAACAGTTCTGCTTACTACAGAAACAAATTTTATTTTCTGTGAAGCATTTAGTCATGTGCTATCACTGACTCATACACATTTGCCAGCTGTAACAAATTTTATAGACGTTTTCTCCAGAGACATAGCTCATATACTATGAATTTTTAAATGAGCAAATGGTGAAGAAGGGATGTCAGCAATATAAAAATTGATCAGTTAAAAGATAAAAGCATAAGTAAAGAGATTTGTATGGTAGTCTTAATAGGTTTTATTAAATAAAAATACTATAAAAAGACAGTAATGAATAGACTGAAGGTTTTAACTGTGGTTGAGGTAGAGAAAAATTATTCTGGCACATTTAGTAGAAGATTGGTTTTATATCACCTGACAGGTGAACATTTTTTTTCTCTCTGCTTTTTAGATCTGTAAATGTTTTAGAGCAGTCAAACTTGGGAAAGAATGGCAGTGGAAGTAGGAGGGGAAAAGAAACTTGGGAAGATTCTGCCCTTTTAATGCTTTTGCGGGCCGGGGACAGGAGGCTCCATGGCAAAGGGCTGCAAGGCTGCTGCCACCGCACCCGCGCAGGGGTGAGGTTTCTGGTGACTCTCCAGCCGCTGCCTTACCCTCTGCAACCCTAAAACACGGAGCTGACGAGCGGCGAGCAAGGGCCGGCTGGGCCTGCGCCCAGCTCGTGCTTGTGCCGCAGTCGCTGCAGCCCCGACGTCTTTCTGGTCGCCTCCACGCAAGATCCCTTCCTGGCCAGGCTGCTCTGGCCACAACAGATCTTCGTATGGAAGCTTTGCTGATGTTCTCTTTGGTCTTATGTAGTTTAACTTACTTAGCAGTTCTGCATAGAAAAATATCAAGAGAGAGAAGGGGGGGGGGGTGTCTGTGTTTTATTGGGGTTTTTTAAGAGCAACTCCTTATCTTCATTAGCTCATATATCCAGAACAAAACAAAACAAAAAGCTTAAACTGCTACAGGCAGCATTGTAAGTTTTTAGAGCATATGACCACTAAATAATATTATTTGATTATTTGAATATCTAAATCTTAATGCCATCTGTAGAAGTATTACTATAAAAAGGGCTGTTCTGTCAAAAATTGCTGTCATGGTATATATTTGGAAAGAAAGCAGAGTTAATGATGTTTTCTATGAATCTGGGCAGCTTATGTTTTTTAAGACAGCTTCTCTGAGTGAATTGCAGATCTTGGCATTGTTGTTTTGGCATGTGTGGATTCTTTAAGTAAGTATTGCATAGTCAGAATGCTGCAGTCGGTGATTAAAGGGCTCATAAAGACCAAATTGGGAAGTTGCATTTAGCATAAAGAAACCAAAGAATAACAACTTGTAATTAAATGTCAGTCTTTTTCTGTTGCTTGTCATACAAGACTGGACAGTTTCCTATTTTAAGCAATAGTTAGTGGTAGGGTTTTGATGATAATTTGTGTAAACAAACGGTGTTTATTAGGTGTAAAGCTGAAAAGGTGTACCTGAGGCAAAGTTGAATCAGATGCCTTTTTTCATGGAGTAACCTTACGTCTCATAAGCTTAGGACAGAATTTCTGGCCTGGTCTGGGTCAGCTCCAGGTAAGGGCACTGGCACCTCACGTTAGACCCACAGGCAGGGCTCTGCGTGGCGTCACGCAGAGACAGTGTGTGACACCTAAGGAATCAGAGCGTGCCAGATGAGAACCGAGGGACTGAGGAGAACCTTCCCCACTGCCACCCAGGTCTCAGGTAGCTTTGATGCATCTGTCTAGGTTTACATGCAGCCCCTTTCCTCACAGTAGGAATCTTTTTATCTATAAGCTGCTGTAAATAACTGTTTGTTGTTCTCAGTACCTTTAATATAAAGCGAATAATTCTGAATTCTCTCTTCACCCTTTTGTGGTGGTGGAATCAAAATGCAGTATGAACTGTTAGCAGCCATTGAGGGTACCGAGACCAGAGCTGATCATCTGCAGAAAGCCATTCGGAGACCTTGGCACTCAATGCACCTGCTTCCAGAGCCTTCTTTCCCTTCATGTTCTCATTCCCCAAGTTCCTTTCTACCCTTGCACACTTTTCCTCTACTTCTTCCAGCTGTCTGCTCAGCCCTTCACCCTGGCCCTGCCTTCCTTGAGTACGGGGCTCAGGTGTGGCTGCCTCTTTTTGCCATCCCCTCAGAGGACTAAGGGGATCACAGAATCACAGAATCTTTGAGTTGGAAGGGACCTTTAAAGGTCATCTAGTCCAACCGCCCTGCAGTGAGCAGGCACATCTTCAAGGTTGTTCCTCTCATGCAATCCTTGATTGGATTCTGTGGAATCTGCTGATATGGTCCTTGTAGATTTTTATTTATTCGTTTATTATTAATAGCAAAAAAGAAGGACTAGCTTCTAATACTCACAACGCGTTCTGTTCTGCTTTGTCATCATTGGTAATGATATAGCATATGTGCATACACTCACAAGTAATTAAGACAATCTCCTAAATTACTGTTGAGACAGTAACTGTATGAAGTAAAAGGGATTCTCCTAACCGCTGCAGTAACTTACTTACTTACATTTGTGTGGGTGTTTTCATAAATTCTGTAATAACATCATTGTTCCATTTATCAAAACTGATCTTCCTCTCCACAGAGTATGTTCAGACTGCCGGCAGCTCTGCGTTCCTCCAGTTGCTCCTTGACTGAGGTAAGTAGCCCCTCGCTCTGCTGCGTGGCTTCTCCAGCTGCCACATGCTGGTCGTATAATCATAAGGACTGAGGTCCTTAATATTAAAACATCTGCAGAGTGATCTAGTATGTAGGCCTGCAGTCAAGGCTGTCACGGCTTGATAGGAAACCAGCTGCTGCTCTGCGTGTGGCATTTCTTGTTCCTGGTTTGTTAAGCAAAATGACATGCTGGATCTATAGAAACTCTGTCCCACTCTAAAACAGCCGATAGCATTTCTCCTCATCAAGACTGTCAGCTTCTAACTGGAGGTCTTTTCAAGAATGACATTTCAGGTCTAATACATGTAAGGAAAGCAAGAACATTTGTGTACTTTTCTTAATGCCACGACTGACACCCTGCAGTTCACCAAGGAGGCTGCTTACTGCAGCCCTGCTACGCTATTGATGGCGGGGGAGCTTCACTGCCTGGGCTCAGGCTTTGCTTTCCTGCAGCGCTGCCATGCGCATCCTTCTTCATTCTGTTGTTATTGCCAGAACAGCTCCGCCAGCCCAGGGCCTCCAAGCGCTGCGCTTCCCAAGAGAGGGGGGTGCGCTGCAGGGCAGATGGTCCGGCTGAAGTAGCAGCAGCCGCAGGCGCCGCAGGCGCCGCCCCCACCACCGCCCACATCAGCCGCAGCCCACTTCCAGCCACCCCCTGCC